CAGTGAGAGCAGCCGAGCGAGTGAGAGAGGTGGCGGCGGTGGTGGGGGTCAGGTGGAGAGAGAGAGAGAGAGAGAGAGAGAGAGAAGAGAAGGGCGGAGGAGACAACCCTGAAAGCCTCAGCTGCTGTTCTATGCTGTCGCACTTTCACGACTTCGAGAACTCCGCCGAATCAACAGCGGCGCCATGCGCGAGGGCCAATAGTTTTGCGCACATGCGTTTTAGCGCAAGATTATATACGCGCACCGTATGTCCTACGCACTCCGTCTTCTTTTGTTTCCTCTTGGCTCTTTTTCTTCGCTCGCTTCGGGGACATAGGATGTGACGTCTTGTTTTTTATTTCTCTTGAATTTATTACGGAAAGAAGGTTCCTCCTGCTCTTCCTGCAGGCGCTTATTATAGAATTTCAATGTCCGTCTTGTTCATTTCGGACGGATGACTCGACGAGGATAATCCGTAGACAAAATTTGAAAATGACTATTTTGGGCCAATAGAAAGTATGGTCTGGCGATATCTATAATGCAATGTTATGGCGTGAAAGTTTTAATTTTAGTCTCGACGATTGACCTTTGCAAACGAGTAATGATTTGTGAGTTTAATTTTAACTCGCGCGGCGATGCATTAAAGCGTTTCGTTTGAAAGTGTATCGAGTACACGGTGCATTTGTACTCTCGCGATATCTAATTTATAATATTAATTTCGTAGATAATAAGTTTATCTATTTATTTATTTATTTCATTGTGCTATTCAATGATTGGTTAAATAATTATAAAGTGAGAGAGAATGATGTGCGCGTGTGTGAAGGTGCGTCAATTGTCAATTAAATTTGCTGGCTAAATTGTAATAATTGTCTCGATGAGCTTGTGATCGTTTGTCATAATTTTATGAAAACGATGATGAAAATTGAAAAAAAAAAGGAAAAAAGAAAAAAAAAAAGAAAGAAAAAGAAAAAAAAAAAAAGAAAAAAAAACAAGATAGAGAAAAAAAGAAAAACCAAGCACTTTATAATGAAACGCACAAATCAAATGCGATTGCGAACGTACATCGCGAGCATGAAATAACGAAGCTCTTTGAAATATGCGTATAAAGCAATGGCCGGGGGGTTTCCTGTATTTTACAGAAATGCGATACAGAAAAAGAAAAGGAGCAACGAGTGCCGCAGCAGTGGCCGTATGTCGACAAGTGGGAATAGCAACGCGCGCGTAATATGGAGGATTTTGCGCGGTAGCAGACGCTACTCGTGTTCGCCGGTGCACGAACGCCCGGCAATTTTCCATGCGCGCGCGCCTCCTCCGTCAAGGCCAGCGAGAAGATCACCCGAGAAGAAGTCGTAGCGCCAAGTCGAAATCGCGCGCATCGCTGCCGTACGTTTCGCTGGCGAATCCCTCGGGACAGTTTGGCGCGATGCGTCGGATTTGTCCCCGCGACAATTTCGGGCGGGAACGAGTGTCTATGACAGGTAATATGCAATTGGTTATTGGAGCCGCGGGCGTTTTTGACAGTCGGTTATGACAGTTGGTAATGAGCATCGATGGGCATAAGAGCGAGCAATTAAGCCGTAATATTAATGGCACCGATAAAACGATCATTGCATTGTTTATAATATGCTTTCGAGAGGTGTGAAATAGATTGTTAAATCGTTGGGCCGACTGGCTTGGTTGAGCAAAACTTTAATCGCGCTTCACCGTGTAAAATCCTGCCCACCTTCGGCCAATTATGTGGACAGCTTATGAATGTTATTTCTAACGCGTGCGCGCGCGCGCGCGCGCCCAATTACGTACGTACGTACGTACGTACGACTAACTACTAACTCACGGCAATTTACTTTCAAAAGCATTTATTTATGCAAATGTCGTTTATTATGATTATTATTTTAACTCGTCGCATTAAGGGAGAGTTAAATTAAATTATAGCCCGTTGGCTGGCGTTGTGCATTTGTAAGTTTCATGGTTTTATGGGACGAATGGGAAAAAGTTATAATCAAGTATATAAAGCCGGTTGGTTATGGTTCCAATTGTAATTACCGCGAGATAAATGACTCGGTGAACAATGCTTTTAAAATGGCTTACGAGTGCCGATTAAAGAAGCATCGTTTACGTAGCCTCACATCGCGCAAAGTATCGCGATAAAAGGGCAAATAATTTTGACAGTTTTGGGCGTTTTAGCGAGCGCTCATCTCGTTTGCCGATGTGTTGTTGCATCGTTTGAGGAAACGAGAGCGAGGCAAGATGCACCTCCTAGGTGAAGTTTGCCGATCGCGGCGAACGTCGGGACGGACGGGCATCGGCCACTTTTACCGCAATCGCGTAAACAGCGGTTGAAGAACAGTAAAGCGGACGGAGGCGCGGATAAGAAATGGTCGTCGAGCGACTGGACAGTGGGGCCGAGGGCCGACGGAGGGCAGATGGGAGAACGGACGTGGACCGTCACGCAGGTTGCGGGCACCCGGTGCAAAAAGCTGCTCCCGAGGCAATGCTCATCGAGCGAGATGCCTCCGCGCCGACGCTACGATATTTTCAAAGGACTTGGCTTCAAACCACCTCTCTCTCTCTCTCTCTCTCTCCCTTCACCCTCCCGACCGACCCAGTGCGGCTAATAAAGCTCTTTTTGCACGCACGAGAAAAGATGGGCGCTCGACTCGTTCGTTTATGGTTTCTGGCCGTCACTCGTCTGGCTCATATCGTTGATATTGGTATTGTATAGAGGAGGAGTCTCCTTACGCGGTGATGAACGTTCATTCAAATTACGTGTTCCATGTCGACGCTATACACGTTTACGTAGTATTGGTAACGGCGGGTGGGGGGTGTGATGGTGATTTGTGACAATTAATTAACTGATATTTCAACGATATTTCGACGATGGATGTGGTCG